ATGGATGAAGTCCTTGGATGAGGGCTACAGCACCTTGCGGCAGAGCTTCAAATCCGGTAAGACCCTCACGGAGGACTGGCGCCTCGGACAGCTCCAAGCTCTGGAGAGGATGTTTGTGAATGATCGAGACACGATTGCAGCAGCCTTGGCAGAAGACTTGAAGCGTCCAGCCTTTGAAGTTGACAACTTTGAAATCGGCCCAACAGTTGCAGAGATCAAATTTGCAATGAGGAACCTGAGGACATGGATGAAGCCAGAGTCTACAATGACCCCACCTTTGATGCAATTGGGCTCGTCACGTGTTGAGAGGATACCCAAAGGTGTCGTCCTTGTTATGGGTGCTTGAAATTTCCCATTTCACCTGAGTCTGACCCCATGCATTGCAGCCATTGCGGCCGGAAATTGCGTGGTGCTGAAACCCTCGGATGTCTCCCCCGCATCCGCCAGTGCCATCAAGGAGTTGTGCGACAAATACATGGATCCGGCCACGTTCCGCGTGTACCTTGGTGAGGTGGCCGAGTCTACCGAGCTGCTCGCACGGAAGTGGGACCACATTTTCTACACCGGCAATGCGGTGATTGGTCGCATCGTCATGACGGCCGCCGCGAAGCACTTGTGCCCTGTGACATTGGAGTTGGGAGGGAAAAGCCCGGTGATTGTGGACAAGGGCTTGTCTGCATCACAGCTTCAGATTGCGGTGAACAGGATTTGCTCAGTTGGACTCTTCATCAATGCAGGGCAGATTTGCGTCAGCCCAGATTACATTCTTGTCCATAAAGATGCAGAAAAGGAGTTGCTGGCTGCTCTCAAGGCAACGACCGCCACAATGTCCAAGAACGGATCTTCTGCAGAGCTGGGGAAAGTGGTGAATGGCAGGCACTTCGCTCGCTTGAAGAACATTGTGGAGACTTCGCAAGGCGAGGTCGTTTGTGGTGGCTCTGGAGCGGGATCAGGGGCAGACTCATCTTCTTGCTTCTTGCCACCAACCATTATATCAAGACCAAATTTGTCCTCGCCGGCCATGACTGAAGAGCTCTTTGGCCCCTTGATGATGGTCGTTCCAGTTGAGAGCTTGGAAGAAGCGGCTGAATTTGTGAACAGCCGAGAGACTCCTTTGGCCCTTTACGTCTTCTCAGCCAATAAGAGATCAGCTGAAGAAGTGATTCGTCGCACGAGGAGCGGAGGTGTACTCATCAATGATGCTTTACTCCACTTGGCAAATCCACATCTGCCTTTTGGTGGCTGTGGAGAGTCAGGCTTTGGTTCCTACCATGGCAAGTGGGGCTTTGAAGAGTTCTCCCATCGACGTGCTGTCATGCACAAAGCGCTGTTTCTGGACGTGGACCGCTATCCACCTTACGACAGCTTCAAGGCTGCACTTTTAAAGTCAGTCCTGGGGTTGCCTGAGGTGGTCAAGAGCGCTATGGCATGCTTCATGAGTCTTTTTGGCTGCTGAAGGCCGAACGTCCTGTGTCCATTGGGGCACAAGACGTCACGAGCTGTAAGCACGCTCATCAATTCCTGTCCAAGTGCAATTGTGCCTTTGGACATCCTTGCACTGCATTTTGCGCTCTCGAGATGATAACTGATAACCCAGTGTCTGGACTTGTAGAATGGAACTGCATAGAACGCAAACCCAACGCCCTAGGAAGCCCAAGCAACACAGGAGTTGTCGATGTTTGCTTTCAACATTTCTCAGGAGTCGCTCGATGACCTACTAGATCCGTCAACTCTGGACCTTCCTCCGGGATGGAAGGCTAGCCCGCTGAGCTGTGATGATTGACGCAAGTCATTCTGTCCTGCTCGCAGATTTCAGTTGTACGAAGCTGCTAGCTGCCAGCATCGGACATTCTCGCAGGCAGTGTGGTCAGAGGAGAACGAGCTAAGTCCTCAGTGTTCCTTCTCCTTAACCCGCCCTACCCAGTACTTTCAAGGTTGGTCAAGGTTGGTCTCTTTTGATGGCAGAACTCCCAAAAGATTTGGTTTGAAGCTGTTATGCCGCTATTCCATGCCGCATTGAGTCGAGACTCAGGGCATTCTACTTCTGGCACCAGCCATCAGACACCGTGCAGCCTGGGACGCAGAGGAGCAAAACGAAATGGCCAAGTTGACATGCGACAGCTTTTTGAGGTGGGATCCTCCAGATCCGGAAGCTTGGCATCAAATGTGTGACATCATAAGATAGGACAGATAGGACTGATCAGTTTGTGTTTCTGAGTGCTTTGTCAGGTGTCCCCTGCCCGCGACCGACCAGAGGCATTCTTGGAGGTGAGAATGGCAACAGTGGCATGGGGGGTTCATTAGATGAACATAGTGGTGGCTACTAGGAACAAAGGGCATTGCTACTGTACTAGAAGCAAGGACGCTACTAAGGGCTCCTGGCCTTACTACTAGGAACAAGGACGCTACTAGTAGCTAGAAGCTTCCTTGGGAATCGTTTCACCTGTAACAAAAAGCTACTAGGGGCTCCTGGCCTTACTATATACTAGGAGCAAGGATGCTACTAGGGGCTCCTGGTATCGCTACTAGGAGCATTCTTACTACTAGTAACAAGAAGCTATCCAGACTTTTGGGTTTCGCCTTGCAGGATGCCGCCTTCTTATCGATTGACTCGCTCGCTACAGAGGTGTGGCCCGTCAAGGGGTGATTGCTGTAGCCGTTCGTAAAGGAAAAAAGGAATCCACACCAGTACTGTCCAATACTGTCCATACGAGCCATCCAAATTCATCCTGTCAAAGAACGGAGAAGTTCAGAAGCATAATATGGTCCCAGTTATGGTCCCTTTTCATCCTTTTGCTGCTTTTCTTGTTAACTCGCCGGAATGGGGCCATCATGGGCCATCCTCCCTCAGATGCCGGGAAGATCCCGGAAGCACACCATTGAACACCTCAGTGGTAGCATCAACGCTTGGCACCACCATTGCGCCAGCCAGTGCGCTGTTTGTGGAGTTAATGTCCGTACGTATCAGTGCTCGGAGAGTTTAGCTAAAAGACACAGTGGTTGTTTCCACAAGCCTCCTGCCTGCCTGGCCGCAGAACTTTTTCAAGGGTTTCTGGATGGATGGTGCCTGTACAGAATTCATTCGATATCCATTTTGCCGGCCCTCATGTCACTTTATTGCGGGCTCTCCTCAAATCATGTCGTCTTTGAACACTATTTGACTCAAGTGACGTCGGAGGTCTTCGAGTCCTTGTCAACTCTTCGGGTATCAGTAATGTGCCTCTGCCAAGGTGCCGCATCCAGAATACTTCCAACAGTATGAGCATGAAAGCGTCCTGGCCAAATGCGCTTCTCTGGTCTCTGAAGAGGGTGGGGCCCCGTTGCGCGCATCGCTGTTATGCTGAGGTGCTTCTGCTCATGAAGCTCACGCCCCAGCTGCGCTAGCAAGTAGAAACACAACACCCATCATGAATATGATTCATATGATGATAAGAATATACGAGACGTTGAGCTCTAGCATGCTACATAGCACACATGACCGTAGCAATGACCTATGCCACGTATGATGTTACAACAACATGTTGGATCACAAAGCTCCTATTGCACACGACATGACCTGTTGGGGTATGCCTTTTTAGGCTTTCAGATTCGACCCCTGGGTCTGGTGGGGATCCCATAGAGCCGTTCTCTCTGTCCTTCCAGCTGAGGTGCTGAGCACAGCTGCCGCCAACCTGGAGCACTATGCCAGGCATAGCCAGCCATTGAGACGTTTGTTCCTGAAAGACCTGCAAGTGCAGGGCAGCGTGATGCAGCGTGTTTCTGATTGCATGATATTGTATTGTATGCTTATTTTCTCACTCTTGCGACTTTGAGAATTCCATCAAGCATTGAAAAGAATTGCCTCAAGACCAACTTTGGGGTGGATGATATCAACTGTGTGGTGTGTGACAGGCAGACCGAGGGTTTTGGAACTCAGCGGAGCAAAGGCGCGGGGTTGATGTTTTTGCTGGTAGATGCCAGATATTATTTCAGCTTCGTGGGACAATAAAGGTGCCAAAGATGAACCTTGTTGCAGCAATTCGCAAGCTGTACCCGCCAGGCAGCCGTTTTAGCAAGGGCAGCAGAGGCAGCAGAAGACATTCAGCGGAGGAATCGTGCCAGGGAGATTGTAACCCGTGGATTTAAAGCCCGTTGACCCAGGACTTCCGCTCGACAGCACCTGGACCAGTACCCTGGGAACAAGGAAGGGTCCCTGATCAGGCGAGACGATTCTTTTTCGTAGGCTGACCAATTTACACCAATTCGGTGCATGTCAGGGCTTCAGCCAGACACAGTTCTGCCAGCTGCCTCCTGCTTACGCAGCTGCCTAAGAATAATTTTCTTTATGTCAAGCTTGCAGTCAAACACCCTGGCTGTCGAATGTTTAGGATTCAATGCAACGGACAGGCACAAGCAGGGAAGGAGGGAGGAAGAAAGAGAGAGAGAGAGAGTGTGTGTATGTGTGTGTGTGTGCTGAGGGTGTGCTGCAGATCTTTTGCAGAGTTGAACGCGGCATGATGTCACATTGTCACATGACGAGTTTCAGAGTGTTTTTGTGTTCTTGACAATTGGTCAAGGATCGGCAGAGTATCTCAAGCACAGTTTGCCCAGTGTTTGCTCGGCACTCGCTAGTCAGGCAAACCGCGGTTCTTCATCCGTCCTGGCTTGGTTGATATGGAGGCTCTCAACAAGCCGGATCCACAGAAACCACCCACTATGTACAGGTTCCAGTCTCCCCTTCTTCCATGGAGATCCCTTTATATTCCTTTCACATCCTTCTACAACTTGGCTAAATTCACCACCGGAAAATCAACTGTCATGCAGCGAAGCTCCCTCAAGCCCGGGTGATGACCGAACCTAGGATCGATGGTGAGAAGATGGACCAGCGCTTCCGGAGGGATCGTATCAGTGACAAACGGAGAGAGAAGTGGAGTCCCCAGATTTTTGAGGACGAGCACATGTTTTGTGTGACGGTTGTTCACACTGAGGTACCCCATACCAGCTCAAGTGGAGTACAATAGGATGAATTCAACGGTGCAAGGCCGGCGGTGTTGGTCTAGACAACCCTCAGCAGCAAGACGCGGGATTTGTTACTGGAAAGGTATGACAAGGTCATGAGGTCATTGCGCCTGGCCTAGCATCGCCGGGATTTGTTTCGTCTTTGTGAGCAATTGGTTTGTGCCTTTGGTATGTTCCACCGTTGCAGCATCAATACCGCCTCCTCGCGCCGTGACAGCTGTCAAGCCATTTGACTGCCAGAAGATGATCGCGGATGACCAATCAAAGCAGGTAGAAGGTGGAGAGTTGCTGCTGCAGGTGGGATTGTCTGGAAGGTTCGTCTCACTCCACGGGGTCATGGACAGCATGACGGTCTTGGACATCAAGCATCAAGCGCGTGACGAGGTAGCCAAGCTCTTGGGCAAAGAGTTCTTGTCTACCGAGTTGATGTCCTTGCTACCTGGCGAGGGAGTGGAAGCCCTGAAGAATGAAGTAAAGGTGGAGGAAGCGGGCCGAAAATTCACCAACAATCACCAACAGACAGACAGGTGCCATTCATTGCCAGTCAATTCTATGTCATTTCTTGGGGCATAACTCTATCATTATTCCTTTGCTTGTTGGCTAGATCAATTTAACTCCTCAAGCCCATGGAGGACTTGAAGGTCTCCAGCGGCTCCACCTTGCGTGTCATCGTGGACAGCACGCCGCCGCGCAACGTCTTTGGCCTGGAATTGTCGGACCGCAACCATTTTGAAGGGGGTAGCCTGGCACCTGAAGGCTGGCAGTTGAACCTTGTGCCCAATAATGTAATCATAGTGTGGGTTACCATCAGGTTCTTACCAAAGACTGAGGTGTGGGTGAAAAAAAAGAATGTTGGCTACCCATTTCCAACTGCTTGCGCTCATGAGTTTGCTCTCTTTTTCGTTTGCTGCTTGCTGCTTTGTGTTTTTTTAAGGCCGAGGTGGTGGAGTGGCTTAGGTCGGAGGGGATGGACATCCAGTGCGGCTGACCCACATGAGACATCCTTCTGAAGGAAGGCCGTGTCCACTGTAGGTGCCAGAGTACCAAGTCTAAGAGCGGAAAAAAAGGCAGGTGTTTGGGCCTTTTAAGGCAACCTTTGAAGGGGACCTCATTAAAGAGGCCGGCATTGACCTTCTTTGTGTGAAATGTGATCTTTCATTGCCAGCGGCTCAGAAACCAAGGCATAGACTCGCCGCTGGTGAGTGCTCTGCTGAAATGGCTTCGCGAGGGCGGCACCTTCTTTGCAGCAAGTGCTGGTTGAAATCCCAGTGAAGTCCCGATGACTTTGGGATTCTTCTAACTCCCTGACATCCCCTAACCAATGCCCGGGGCCCCATGATTTATGGTTTTAGGGTGAGCAAGGACATGAAACCATGTGGAATAAAGCACCTGGTAATGGTAGAGGGGAAAGCCAGGCTCAGGACAACTCACATCAGCGTTTAGTTGGCTGAACCTCTATGCTGTGGCAAAAAGACAAGGGGCCCAAGCAAGTTCTACTCCATCCTTGAAACACAAGATGCCAGTTGGTGGATTGCTTTGGGGGATTAGTTCTCCGTGCAAGGTGCAGCGCCTGGTCGTGGAAAAGATGAACAACAGAAAGTCGTGAGTCACTTCATGTCCTTGTACTTTGACATTTCGACGGAGGGTGACCTTGTGAAAGAGCAAGGTTTCAAGGATGAAGATCCAAAGTTTTACTTTGGCTTTGTTCGCTCCTTATGCTCGGATGTTGGGAAGTTTGTCAAGACCTTGCAGTCAAAGAATGCATCCGGGCAACTCCCGTGCAATGGCACGGCAAGCTTAAGCCTCATGGCCTACTGTTCTCGTCACCGAGAGTGCGAGGGCTGTCATGGTGCGACACAGCACCCTTCGAATTGCATGCTGAGTGGCTTGAGCAACAGCCTCAACCCAACAGTGGAAGGTAAATGCCCGGGTTCTGTGAAGGATTCCGAGCATGCCAAGAAGCTTTTCAAGGACATCGAACACTGCTCCGGCTCCGTTGAGGAGATGGTGGCGCTCAAACAGGCAGCTCGGATGTTGGCTTTGCTGAGTTCATTGGTGGAGGAACTCAAGAAGTGCCAACTTGTGGGTGGCCATGACATCAAGTTGCGTCCTTCGGGTGCTCCATACGACACACCTGTAAGATGCAATCGCAAGCGTTTGGACTCTCACGCTGAACGGAGGCTGGCTGAGTTTGTTCAGATCTTTGAAGGAATTAAAGATCTGTTCTGCAGCTAGGGCCTAGGACATGATGCGTGTCAGAACACTTCTAAGGGTACCATAATGTGCCATAGAGTACCCTTGGGTTACTGTTCCTATGTGTTCCTATGTGACGTGCCAGCCACCGTGCTGGCAGAAGATCCTGGGCGAAAAAGGAACGCCAATGAGCCAAGTCAGCTCCGGCCGTTTCTGACCCAAAGAGGTCCAGCGGCGCAGCGGTGGCACGGGTGGCTTTCTACTGTAACCATTGCGACACTCATTACGACAAAGTGACTATGCCGTGCTAAACCTCGTCATCCTTCGACAGGTTGGTATCCTGTGAATCTTTGGATCTTTGGTTTTGACCCTTCAATCCTCTTCAATCTTGATATCCGGAAAATTGGAACTTTAGCACGCATTTGGCTTCAATGGTTGCTCATGGGCCTATGCAAACTAACTATATACATATTTCTTCGCAGAGTTTGCAGGAGTGTTTCACCGTCATGTCCACCATCACGTACACTACTACAAAGACGAGAATCAGCAGCAGCGGTGGCCCCAAGCACACTGAGGTTCTTGGAGCGCAGCCTGATGGTGACTCAAGGTATTCACAAGCCATGTCTTGAGGGGATCACTTGGGATCAACCAGATGCCGCAAAGAACATGTCACCACCAGATTGAACTTGTGTGTTTGGGCCGAGCATTTCTCTCAAAGCAGCTTGAGCCTGAGGCCTCCACCGGAGCAGCCGCCAAAGGCGGATGTTGAAGGCAAGCCAGGAATTGGGTGAATGGCGCGCTGAGAGAAACACTCAACACATTGTGACCGCACAGGGGGGCCACGCTAAATCTCCGGACCCAGTTGATCCAGTTGATGCAGTTGACCCCAACAAGCTACCACCACCACGACAACGACTACTACTACCACTGCCACTGCCACTACGACGACGACGACGACGACGACGACTACTACTACTACTACTACTTCTAGTTCTACTTCTACTTCCTACTTCAATTGTTCTCTCGTATTCCTTTTCAAGACAAGACACATTCACATGAAATAAAATGTTTAACGCAAGACGCAAGAACTGACTGGACCTCAACAAAAGACCTGTGCGCGCACAACATTCACATGTGACAGAAATGATCCAAAATCATCCAAAGATGTAGCTCGCAGTTAAGATGCCTTGGTTATCATCTACACACACACACACGTCTATAGATTTTTTGGGCATATCCAGGCCGGAAGTCCTTTTTTTTGCCATCATGAAGTCGTTCTCAGACGTACGATGTTGCCGGCACACGGGTCACCTGTTTAGATCTGCTCTCAACCTGTCAGAGGTCCAGTTGACCCAGTTGAGGCACTGCCTCCACCCCAACCCATCGTCCCAGTTGATCCACTTGACCCAGTTGATCCAGTTGATGCAGTTGCCATCACACAAAGTCAACTGGATCAACTGGCTTCAACCGGGTCAACTGGGAAACCCTGTTCAACTGGGTCAACTGGGACCACAGATTTACTGGCCCCCTGTGCGGACGCACTCAAGAAACAGATAGAACTGCCAGAACCATGGAAAATGGAATAAAAGGTTGAAGCGAACAAACAACTCCGAGGAGAATCATCAGGGTTTCACTTCAGCTTTGTTTGGGCGTTTCGACAGCGGCTCCTCAGGTGAGGGCTCAGAGCCTCTTAAGGAGCTGCGTGATGATTGCTGTTTGTCTGAGTATGTAAAGCAGCCAGCTGTGTGAGCCGGTGTCTTTGCAGGAGTTCCAAACACAAAAAGGGAAAAAGAAACTCCCGAAGAGCTCAGGGAACAGCAAGCAGATGCCTCAGAGAGCTACTGCCCACAGTTCATCCAAGAGGGCCCTATGCTACTTATGAGCTCTGCATTTGGCTAGGCCCTGCTGGATCCAGGGTGTCATTTGAGGTCTGTCGCCGAGATCCTCCGCCCAGTGGAGTTCTAGCCATGCTCCCAGATAGGAAGGAGGAATCTCTTGGAGGTGATTGTGGGTCATGGCACGGCACTAAGCCACAGATGCCAAGAATTACGAATCAACCCAATTCAACCAAGTATGTTTCGGTCATTTTTGAAGGGGATCGCTGAGCTACATTTGCAATCATTTGCCCTTTGCTTGTGGAGGGCACCAATTCAAATCGTCTTGCTGGCTTATGGAGGTTGTTTTTGCTGCTGGGAATTGCGTGATGTGATAATATCAGTGACAAGAGCCGATGACTAGTCCGATGACCATATTTTGCAGCATGAATCTCGCCAAATCGCCACCTGACACGCCACTGAGTCCAGTGGGTGCCGCTGGGGCTGGCTTGCGTAAAGCCAGGTGCGCTTCAGCCCAATCTTCATTTGGGAAAAGTTTCCTCACCGGGGTCCTCAACTGACACGTGCACCATTTTGCATCCCTCCAGATGTTCTTTCGGACTGCTTTCTGCAGGTCCAAGTCAGAAGCAAAGCTTGTAACTGCCCCCCAGAACAACTTTTGAGATGCTTCTCAGAAAATCTTTTGTTGTTTCAGGTTCTTTCCACAAAAGTTGTCAAGAAAGTAAACCCAAAAAGAGAAAACAAACAGATTCTGCAGAGAAAGCAAGCAGACAGAAGAGCCGCTGCTTTCAGCTTTGTCCTGACAGCTCCTTTTGTGTTGAGGTCAGGCCCTAGTGGCCTGATATTCTGAGCGGCAACTTCCGACAGAGCATGGCTTGAAACAAAATACCGCGAAAGGCGTTGCATGTTTGAAGCGGGTATATCATATCCATTTCGTGTCAGAAATATGTTTGGACTTTACAAGAAAAGATGGGTGCATACGATACTCCAGTACACCTCCAGAATTGCATATACATCACAACATGATGCATCAGCCTGGCAAAATGCAGCACCCGGCACCCAGCAGTTAAGCCGATAGCTGAGCGAAGCCACTGCCGTGCTCATTGGGGAAAATCAGTTTGGCGGGTGATGCCACAAAAATGTTGTAGATTCTCAGTGTGTCATGACAAAGACTTGCGAACGCTGCGTTTTTTTTGGCTCTCTTCGGCTTTGCAACGGGTCTTGGCAGCCAGTAGCGGGTCACTGGACTAGGGGCTTTAACTTGGAAAGTATCGGCGAGGAAAGGTGAAGATCTTCATTCGTCAGACGCAGGATTGTTTGGGCCAAGTCCTGCCACGCTGAGCCACGCATCTCCGGCTGCCATGGCGCAACCCTTCTATGGTGGCCCTGGCGGGCCGCAGTCACCAGCTCAACGGGAGCTGTTCGTTGCAGCTTACGAGACCATACGAGAAATGCTGAAGTTCCTGAGGCCAGGCTACATGGGTGGAATGGGAGCTCCACAAGTGCTTACCTTAACCAGACACTCCTGGACACTTGACCAGCATTGGATGCACCTTCATGACAATGAAAGTGAAAGTGAAAGCTTGCTGTGAGATGTGTTGAATCCTCATGGATCCGGGCCTTGTTTGAGAGTTGCAGGGAATGCCTGGAGGCCCACCTGCACAGACCTTTATGCAGGCAGAGTATGGAGGCAGGATTCTCCTGACGTGACACCGTCCTGATCCGCAGGGCGGAGTGCCACCTGGCCCATGTGGGGGCCCCATGGGGCCCATGGGGCCCATGGGGCCCTGCGGACCTTGTGGTATGCCCAGTGGGTGCCCTGGTGGGTGCCCTCAATCCCAGGCCTCTCCACAGCTGCTGAGCAAAACCCGCCGTTTTCCAGCTCCCTGTAGAAAGTTCGCTCGTAGGCGCCAGGCGGTTGGGGAGCACCACAAGGTGGAGGCCAACGACAGATACAGGTTCATTTATGTTCATTTCAGGTTCCGATCAAACAGACCCTGGAAGATTCTGCATGTGTGGGTTTGTGTTGGCCGCATTTCTGCCGATGCGAGGTTGTGTAGGGCCTGCGATGGGGGTAATGCCTGGCCCCACCATTGACACCTTTGTGGAGGCCGGAATGTGCCAGTCCAGTTTTGACCGAGCAGGCCGCATGTTCTCGTTCAGGTGTCCCCAGAAATCCAGCCGGTTTTCCGCAGGGAGCAGGACGAGCTCCAGTGTCGCCACCAGAGTGCATTGCTTTTTGGATGCCGAAACTTCAGCTGACTGATGACTTTTCCACGGTTCCCACGCAGGACGGGACGCTTGGCTCCAAGCGATGAAACATAAAGTATTGCAAAGTCATGCAGAGAACAGGCAACACTTTGAGGCCAACAGCCTTGTGCAGACTTGCACACTCTGTCTAGATAGCGATGGCCTCCACCTTACTAGTGATGGCCTCCAACCTAATGGC